AGAGAGAGAGAGAGAGAGAGAGAGAGAGAGAGAGAGAGAGAGAGAGGCAGGCTTTGTCGTGGTTGGAATTTCCAGTTGTTCTCGCAAATGTTCTGAGTGCATCATGAAACCTATGTAGCATGGCTGCCAAGCCTGCCATGGCAGCATTTTCCAGGAATGTTCACAAACTTTCAGAGCACATCACAAAACATTATCCGCATCAATCGACTATGTTTCATAACCAAACCTTATTCGCACGGTTTCACTATTATTCGTGAGATGCGGCGATGATCTCTCATGGTGCCGGTGGATATGCAGCTCTTGCACACTCCTGCAGGATTTCAAATGTGCTTTCTGTAAAACATGGGCGTAACAAACGAGTGTTCAAGTCACTCCCTTAGTTGGGAGAAAGCGGAGGACAGGAGGGAGGGGGGAGAGGAGGGAAGAGGGCTGTTTTTTTCTTAATCTTACGACCAAGAGCCTTCTTTCAAAAATTGTTTCAGAGGAAACAAGAAGTAAAATTGCTGCAAGCAAACCAGCAACATTGTACGTACCATTCCAAGACAGAGACTGTCGCACTTGAACTCAGCATACAAATTTGTCTCGATCGCCCGGCCCTGCAGCCAAAGGATACCCAGGACATACCACAGATTAACTAAGTTCAGAGACCAAAAGATACAAGAAGGAATCAAAGATTAACTGAGTTTAAACTTCAAACTTCAAAGTTCAAACCCTTCTCCTGCACTTTTTAAAGCCCCCTTTTCAAGTTCAGAGACCACAGGACACCAGAAGAAATCAAAGATTAACTGAGTTCAAACCATACTTGCAAGCGGACGCCATCCGGGCGGTTCCGCACGTGCGGCAGACCGCCGGACCGGACCCACACGGCGCACGAATGTGCGCCCAACGACCAGTTACGCCCCCCCCCCCCCCCAAAAAAAAAAAAAATGGCCCTGTCCGGTCCAGTCAGGGTCCGGTCCAGTCAGGGTCCGTCTGGTCCGGGGGGAGGGTGCCTCACGCAGCAAAGCGGACCGGACCGGACGCTCGTCCGGTCCGTCTGCTTGCAAGCATGGTTCAAACCCTTCTCCTGCAATTTTTTAAGCCCCCTTTTCAAGTTCAGACACCACAGGATACCAGAAGAGAAATCAAAGATTAACTGAGTTTGAAGTTTGAAGTTTGGACCCTTCTCCTGCACTTTTTGAAGCCCCCTTTTCAACTTCAGAGACCGAAGGATACCAGAAGAAATCAAAGATTAACTGAGTTTGCACCCTTCTCCTGCACTTTTAAGCCCCCTCTTTTCTTTGCTTTCCACCTTCTGGAAGGCCATGAAGTCTTAAGGAGAGGGGAGAAATGACGAATGGGACTATCTCTGGCACCTCTGCACCAGGGTCTGGTTTGTTGGGCAATCTTGGCACTTGTATAAGGCTGTTCCAGTTTCTCAATGTTAGCAGGCGACTGATCTGTTAAGTCAAGCTTGCAAGGCGATTTCCAGGGGCAGATGGAAGTTCGCAGAAAGAGGGGAGGGAGGGAGGCAGGGGGGAAGAGAAAAAACGAGGAACACAAAAAGAGAAAAGATTATCACTGACATATCAGCGGGACTAACTGAGTTGGCACACGCAGGAACTGCTGAAACACAGACCTGAGTTCGAATCCAGATGCAACCAGACAAACAGAACAAAATAACTCCTGAATTACCTGGGGCTGGTCAGTTCAATGACGATATCTCAAGGCCGTTGCTGTGAGAGACCTGTCTCTTATACACATCTAGATGTGTATAAGAGACAGGACATATCAGCGGGACTAACTGAGTTGGCACACGCAGGAACTGCTGAAACACAGACCTGAGTTCGAATCCAGATGCAACCAGACAAACAGAACAAAATAACTCCTGAATTACCTGGGGCTGGTCAGTTCAATGACGATATCTCAAGGCCGTTGCTCTGAGGGACTGCTCATTCATGATAGAGGAGATACCTGTGTATATTGGATGTGCTTGTTCCTCATGTCGACGATCATCTATATTGTATGTGCTGCTTCTGTCGACTTGTTCCTGACATCGACTATCATCTCTTTCCCCCCCCAAAAAAAAGATACTATCGCCGACATCAGGAATGAGTCAACAGGAGCAGCACATCCAATATACATAGGTACATCCTCTATCATTAATGAGCAGTCCTCATAGTGAAAGGGGATCACTGGGAATAGCCAGCCCTTGGTTGAACCCCGACCATGTCTCTAATACGCAGCCGAACGGAATACTCGTGAACGTGAGATGCTGGTGGGATAACTGCCCGGACGTGTTCGGCAAGGCTGATCCGCTACAAATCGCACGTCTTCCCTCGTACAGCGACGGCGAAAATCGTATGCGCCTGGACATTGAGGAAAGTCCTCATAGTCCCTCAATACCATGTAATTTAACAGGACTTAAACCCTTGACCTGTAGATCAACAAGGAGGTAGGCCCTGCTGTGCGGATGACCGGATAGCAGACCAGAGGGACGGACCGCCTGCATGTGCCGGAGTGCTATAGATAGGTAAAAACAGCGGGTGCGCCAGGAGACATATAGAGCTTAGAGAGAGATGAGAGGGGCTTCATGAGCACAGGATATTGGGAAGAAGAAGAAGAAGAAGAAGAAGAAGAAGAAGAAGAAGAAGAAGAAGAAGAAGAAAGAAGAAAGAAGAAAGAAGAAGAAGAAGAAGAAGAAGAAGAAGAAGAAGAAGAAGAAGAAGAAGAAGAAAGAAAGAACAAAAAAGAAATCCAAGACTGAACAACTCTGTCATCAGGCAGACGCACAACATCGGGAAACCCTTCAAAAGTAAGGAGTCCGAAAGACTTCCTCCCACCACATATCAGCAAGAGTCAATGGGTGATATAGTCATTGTATGTGGACATTGTAGAGTAATCAGACAGGAGCAAGACGTACGGAAGGTAAGTATTTTATTTTTTCTTTTCCCGGAAGTTAAGTTGACCTGTCTGCTTAACGGCATCGGATCACACGTTTGTGCTCACAAGTAAAAGAACGCACTTTGCAAAACAAACGATGAAAATACAGAAGACAAAAGACATCAAGCGAACATTGAAACCGTTCTTTTGATTATTTCTAGAGCTGCATAGATGCCGATGACAAGGCAAGAACCGGAATACGAATAGCAGGACTCAGTGGTTTCACCGTTCCTTCTCGAACAACCAACAAAAGCAATAAGTGGGGGCGGTGACGAAAGAGGACGAAGGGGGGGGGGTTGGTACCATTCCTTCCAGAACAACCAAGTCTGCATCGTCTGCAGCCCATGCGAGCTCTGGAGATACATTCAGCAAATCAATGACCTGCAAAGACGCCACATCATTCATCGAAGTCAGGCAGGTCCAATCAGACTGATGCCCAGATAACATCATCAAGGAGCAGAGACCAAAAGTTGTGCGGTTGAACCCCATGAACAGAAACAGTCGCCCTCTGACAATCCTACGCAGAACAGAGGTATTTTTATTTTTATTATTTTTTAGTAATTATTTACTCGTCTGATTTAATCAGAATTCAAACTCAGGTCTGTTTTTCAACAGCTGATAAGTGTACCAGCTGAGCTAGGCCAGTTGGTAGAACAACAAAATCCCATCTACCATCAGTTCCTGGCTCTCTCTCTCTCTCTCTCTCTCTCTCTCTCTCTCTCTCTCTCTCTCTCTCTCTCTCTCTCTCTCTCTCTCTCTCTCTCTATCTATCT